ATTGTTCTACAACATACATCTTATAGTTACCAATCGTACTTTAATTTTAATAGTTATAGCTAAATTCCTACAGCTACAGCAAAAATGTTTACAGGCTAAATTCTACAGCATATAATCTACAGTTACAGTCCAACCAGTCCAGTTTTTAAAAGCTATTGAACATAAGAGAATAGTACTTTAATTTTACTATTCAAACAAAGGGCCTAAATGGTGTAATGAAAGTTGTGAAATATTGTGGAATGTTGCGGAAAGTTGGAATTTTTTTTACCTATTTACACCAGTTAGCATTACAAGAATAGGCAGATTGTTGCAGAGTTTCTGTTGAGTTATTTTGAACTGTGTGCCAATAGAGAAAAATGTAATGCTTTTGTAATGCTTTTGAGTTTAAATGTTTAAATTTTTTGTTTTTTTGTTTAAAAAATTACTAATAATATAAATGAATGAATTTATAAAGTTCTTAGTGATTTTAGTAGTTGATAATAAAAATATATTTATTAATATAGCTATTTGAAAAAAACTTATTATTAAAAGAAGTTGGCTTTAGAAAATTAAATCAATAAAAGATTATTATTTTGTATAATTTAATACATTTATAAACATATATATTTAATTTTGACCAAAAAATTAATTAATAAATAATTTATATTTTTTCAAAAATTCTTCAACATTCCGCAAAATTCAATTGTTACCATTTAAATTTAAAATTATTCTGCAAATGATCACTAAAATTTCTACAAGATTCCACAATTTTGCAAAATTCTTCTGATACCATTTGGACCCAAAATTATTTTTACTTGTGGAGTGTGGACCGTGACCCGTTTTGAAAATTTTATTTCTAATAAGTAATATGCAATAGACAATAAATTAGTTACGTGAAACTATTGTGACCGGGAAAAAAAAAAACTGAATTTGTGTGGCGTGTATTACTAATTTGATGGCAGCTCCTGCGGTGGAGGCAACCGCCGCAACTGCTCTACGGTCCGTGATTCTTAGGGCCCGTAAGGCGGCGGAGCATGTCGGAAGAGATCCGGAGCGGATCAGGGTCGTTGCAGTCTCCAAGACTAAACCCGTCTCACTTCTCCGCCAAATCTACGAAGCTGGTCACCGTTGCTTCGGCGAGAATTACGTTCAAGAATTCATCGACAAAGCTCCACAGGTTCTTCAATTTTGATACTTTTTCACCAACGATTCTCAGTGTTGCGGAATCTATCTAGTGTTCGTTCGTTCGCTGATTTTTGATGCTAACGAGCTTCTCCTTCAGCTCCCCGAAGATATAGAATGGCATTTCGTGGGCCATTTACYGAGCAACAAAGCCAAAACGCTATTGGGTGTGTGGCTTCATTCCCATATTGAATTTAGTGAATTGATTCTATTGATTTTGGGGTTTTGTGAAAGTGAAAGTCTTTAAATTCAATGTTTGTAGCTGGAGTCCCCAACTTGGCAATGGTTGAAGGTGTAGATGGCGAAAAGGTAATATATCTTTCTCTGCTTGTTTGATAGGATACTTCAAGGATTTCCACAATACTCGGATATGTAGATGTTCTGTGAATTAGTTCTTGCAATTCCTTTGCATAGATATCAGGTTGGGAAGATGATCTTAAATTAGAATGATGAGAAGCCAATGACATGTCATAGTTTTGTTGTTTGTAACCTGCGCAATTCATTGTGCTTAGAGGTTTTGGTTAGTTGTTATTTTGGTGCTAGCACTTGGGATTGATTTCATTTGATTCACAGGTAGCAAATCATCTTGATCGAGCTGTTTCAAGTCTTGGAAGACATCCATTAAAGGTTTTGGTCCAAGTGAACACGAGCGGAGAAGCTTGTGAGTGTGCTACCACCGAGTTTCCTTTCGTCCTGCAAATTGATTTCTATCTCCAGCTTCATCCAATGGGGCTAACTGTTTGTTCCTGAAATTGATTCAGCTAAATCTGGAATTGAACCTTCCAGTGTTGTAGAGCTAGCAAGACACGTCAAGCTGCACTGCCCGAATCTAGTATTCTCCGGGTTAATGACTATAGGAATGCCCGACTATACGTCTACTCCAGAGAACTTCAGGGTATGTTACTCTATTGAATGCTTGTTTTTCTTTTCAAATAAGACTCTTGTTCCACAACAACATAGAAACTTCTCACTTTATGTCAATATGTTATGCTTACAAAGATTTATTATTTTCTTGCATAAACCGGGCCAGACACTTTCAAACTGTAGAGATGATGTCTGCAAGGCACTTGGAATGGCTGAGGATCAATTTGAACTGTCCATGGGCATGTCGGGTGACTTCGAACAAGCGGTAATTATCTTTGTCTCTCATATAATACCGAAGATGCAACAGCCTCGACATAGCATCATTCCAGTGTATTGTAACTTTCTTCCGAGGAAAATGATGGTTGACTATGTTTCTTTGAACTTATGGAAACTGCAGATTGAGATGGGAAGCACCAATGTGAGGGTTGGTTCCACCATTTTCGGGCCAAGAGAGTACCCCAAAAAAGCAACCTAGCCTACCACTGCTCAAAAACACTTTCTTCTTGTAAGACTATGTATAATGTTATTCTGTATATTTTTCTGTATGATCAAATAATGTGTACTCACAAGTTATTTTACAGAATGCAAACATTGGCCTAGAATATTATTTTGTTGATTTTTTACATAAAATAGTCTTTTTTTTTTTACGTTTCTATAAAAATGTGCAGTAACGTGCTTTTGAGTTTGCAAAAAGAAAACCATAATATTGATACCAAAACGTGGTCGTTTAACTGCTACAAAAAAAAATTATCTGAAA